TCTTAAAAGGTGAGAGTACATCTCAAATTATTCTGTTTAATGGTTTAAGAACAATCACCTCCTAGTTTATAATATTAACATCTCCAGATTAATCGGAAAAAAGAAGAACACACATTTAATGGTTTTCTGCCACGTGAAAAACACACAGAGACAACATATACAAATAGCACACAGGATTATAACCAAAATAGAAAACACTATGTATGAATATTACTCAAATACCCATAAGAAGAAAGAGGCATCATTGAATAGACAAAGAATTGGTTTTGGACAGAAGCAGCATAGACTACAGCTTTTAAAAGAGAACGTTTTGGACAAGACCATGTATATCTGCAAAGCAGCAGCAATGGCATTTAGTTTAGTCCTTCCACCGACTGAGTTCACCAACTAAGGAATGTATTAAAATATGAGGGGAGGCCAGTTAAAATTGTATATTAACCATAAAGATTAACAAAGAGCTAAGCATTTCAAGTTTCACAATTACACCTCAGATGCTGGATGTGTGTGAGTTGACTAAATCATTGGCTCTGACCCAGCAAGCCAAATAAAATCCCAATGAGCCAGTCCATTCTTAAGAGACCATTGTTGTTCGGTCAGTGATATGAAGAAAGGACACTCCCTGTATAGCACACAACATAAGCCACTTGAATAACACTAAAATTAGGGTCTGAACAGACATGGCTAATTAGATAACACCATTCATGCCTGCAGAAGTAAGTTTCTCACAAAGATATTTTAATGAGCTGAATTTTCTTGCAAAGATTAGGTTCTAGCAGTAAAATGCCATCATTAAATGTGTTCCTACTGACATGCTATCAAAACCAAAGAATGTGGTGTGTTGTGTCCACAAAGAGTATCTTCTCTGGATTGAAAAACCATGACATGGTCAAATGATGGTAAATGAATAACTATATGGATGGAGCAAAAAATCAGGATCTATAAAATATTTTCTGTTTGCTTAGACTAGACTTACAGGGGTGGACAACAGTATGTTTTCAGTTGTAAACACCTGAAACAGTTTATTTTTATATTATTATTTATTACCTACTAGAGGCCCGTTGCACGAAGAGATTCGTGCAATAGGCCTTCCCTTCCCCTGACTGCCCGCACCGGTTTTCCTCTGGCACCCGGGACCCAGGCCTTCGCTCCGGCCGGAGCCTTCAGTCTTCGTGGCTCCGGACAGACAGAGCCTTCAGTCTTTGCTCCGCCACTTTGCCCCTACGTATGCAAATTAACCACCACCTTTGTTGGGTTAATTTGCATACTCTCCTGATTGGCTGGTGAGCATAGCGGAGGGACAGTTAATTTACATGTTTGTCTATTATTAGGTAAGATTGTATTATTTATTTGTATTACAGCTGTAAATCTACTTTTGCCCACCTGTATATATAATAGTTGATTAAAATACTGTGTTTTCATATGTCCAATGAATTAAAAATAAATTTTGTTTTCTAATCAACATAACTCATAAATAAAATTCTTCAAGAGACTAGCTAAGTAGCATATAGTGCAATGGGTGGAAGAAGGGGAATGAAATTACTGAGGCAGTTATCTGTCCTTTGGAATTATAGCATGAGACTCAACATTTCCAACTCCAAGGATCCATATTCCATGATTTATTAGTTTTGCTTTTCATAGAGTTGATAAAAACTGTGCTATATTTGTTCTAGAAATAGCAAAAACATCTAACTTTTTCTGGGCTCACATGGCAGGAATTACTTAATATGTAACAAATTAGAGGAATCACCATTTCCCCCAAGCACAGGCAGAGGGATTTGAATTCACTAAGCAAACAGCTTCCTAAAAGATCTGTTAATATTAAAGCATTTTAATAATTGTTTAGTTATTAACCTGATTTTTTTAAATGGTAAAAACTGACTCATCAAAAAAATAAAAACATTAGTTCACAAAATCATTCATCTTACTTTTTTCAACAAGGTCTACATGGTTTTAAAAGTATGCCTTTAAAATTTCAGTTAGGTTTTACCAAGGCAAATTATGTTAAAAATGATATTCAAGGAAGAAATTATATAAATGAAATTATTTAACTGCATATATAACTTTTGAATTAGTGCAAACAAAATAAGCCTGTGAAATAGCATTACAATACTACCTCGTGCCTTTTCCTATTTCTAATGAAAAATCCTGCTTTTAAATTTATGCAAACCATTCAGGTTTTCATTATAATAGGCCCAGATGTATTATTACCAAAGGTTAGACACTCTTTTCTTTCTTTCTATTACAGGTTGCAAATTCCAAAACAACAAAACTAATTCAGAAGTCAGTATTCTAACTAGATGTGAAAAATAATCTTGACTATAATCACCTGACATTCATGATTCATAGTCAATTGCCAAGGCTCAATCTTGCTGACCATATTAGCTAATAGGTTCTAGGACTCAAGATTTTTAAGAAAAGATAAAATGTCAAACTTGCGCAAATGGTCTCCGTATTCATTTACTTTCAGAAGAGAAGTTGGGTTTTGCATTTATTATCTTATTTTACTCTGTTATGTTTTGATTTCAAAAGGGAGAATGTTTCTTTCATGATAGAAAAAAAAATGTTCCAAACATCTCATAAGTCTCATATTTTGCTCAAAAACATATATATTAAAAATTAGCTCAACAATAATCTCTCTCCTAAATTTGATCATGTCTATGGCTTGTCAAAAGCCATTTTTGAAAATACAGTTAACCCATTCCCTTTCAAAAAATAATTAAAAGTCGTAATATCAAACACCGCTTTTTAAGTGTCAGAGACAAATACTTGTGTAACGAGTATTTTTCAGCATTTGAAAAATTCTGTAAATAGTTTCATACTGATAAGATAAATACTGACATGCTATGCAGTGAAGAGTAGCTCAGAAAAGAGAACTGTAAATGCAGGTTATTGCTACCTCTTATTTTTTACAATGTGAATTCTGGTTACAAAGAATCCTACATTTCTAAAATGAATATAACTGACACTTTAAATCTCTCTATGATTTTATAACTTAAAGTCCTGAGATCAAGTGCTGATCAGCTTCAATTTTTATAAATTTCAACAGTGAGAAATATCCACAAATATAAAAAGCAATTAAACTTCTATTAGAAAACCTAGACCAACTATTTTCCTATATTTTCACATTGAATATTCTGGTGAGTAATATTTTAAGATCAAGTTCGAGTTTCCTGAAAAAGATATCAATTTCATATAGTCAAGCTGTGACTATAAAATCACATCTAATCAATAAACAGCAATAATATTTCATAAAAATACTCTGAATTGGTTGCTATTCATCTGAGAGCCTCAGTACCACAATTAAAATAGTCACTTAATACAAACAACATTGAATAAGTGAAATATATTCAAAATCAATAAAGAAGTAAGTAATAAAGAAGTAGTAAAAACATTAATAATAAGTAACTGATATGGGAACATGGGGAATGTCTTCCATTCCTACTTTACAAATATGAGAAACAGAGAGAATTAAATGATCAGGTTATTTAACACCCACTGAGTTCTTAGAGAAGGATCTAGAGAAAAATGTAGGAAGCCACAGGCTAAAAATCTTGACCTTAGTAATAGGAGACACACTGAAAATTCTAATAAGGACAGAACAAGGGAACACCTGGACAGTTATTTAATTAAGTATCTCAGCATGAGTTATAAAAGAGATATTGGGATGAGAAATTATTCCAAGATTTAATTGTAAAGGTTGGCTGTCAAAAATACCAGAGACATTCCATTTCCTCTGCATTTGGACCCTTTACTTTGAAACATATAGACTTGGGTATGGAATATAGAATCAGAACTAATTTTAAAACAACCATCACCACAACAAACCACTGGTTAAAACCTCCTCATGAAGATAGCCAAATCAGGTACAGGTACTTCTTCAGGCACTTAATCATTATTTTAAATGCAGTGAGTGCTACCTGAGACGCTAAGTATGATTAACAAAAATGAAGCAGAATCTACGTTAAAATCACTAGCTTTCATCAGTAAGGAAGAAGATTAGAGTAAGCTACGATATTATGTGAATGTTTTCTTAAGAATACAGGAAGGTGTAATAATATTAATCTCAAGGAAAGGAATCATGTAATTCAGAATATACTGCCCCAACTAGGCTGAATTGCAGATCCTGGTGGTTAGAAAACAGCCACAGCAGCCAACAGAAACCACAGAGGCTGTGGTGGGTACATATAACTCTGGCATCGGTATTCCTGAGTATTAATCCCCAGACAACCATACCTATGTTTCTATTCAGAAATGGAGACCAATCCCTTACCTATCTCAAATAGCTGTGAGTTGAATTCACCACCAAGTGTCTAAAGGAAAGACAGAAATCAAAATTCCTTGCCATGCCATTGTCATCATGATCTATAGACAGTGTTACCCTGCCACAACAAAAAAGAGAATTTCTAAATTGTGTTACAATGATTCAGAAACAAGTTATTCTTCCTTTCTAGACTATAAGCTCCTAAAGACAGACAATTATTCATTCGTCTTTATATTCCCCTCAGCATCATCTAACAGAAATGCAACTGATATCTGTTAAAGAACTAATCAATTATTACCAACCTTTTCCCAGGTCATAAGATTCTTCTCATAACTGGCCCAATCAGAGAATCCTAACAAGTAAACAAGCACAGGCTTCTCCCCATGATACTGTTAGATGGTGAAATACAAAGAGAAATTGGTTTGTGGCAATCAAAATAGCATGTGTATGCTACCTTGGAAACCACTAGGTTTCCACTAGGTTCTGTCAGGCAAATGGCAGAAAGAAAAGAGATAAGGTTTTTTTCCTGCATATGCATCACGTCACAAAAGAATGCTTTAGACCACCACTTAGTTGATATTTCCTGCATCCACTTATACCATGGTACACAACATCCTTGATAGTAACTACATCGGTGCTGTTTATAAGGGAGGGGTGCATTTGCAGCATTTTAAATTCCATTTTCAAGGAGGAAAGTCTCTGAGTATATAATCAGACAAGAGTAATAAAATACACTGACCTGGATCTGTTGCTGCAGGAGATTAATTTTGTGCTGCTGTTGCAGAAGTTGCTGCTGTTGTCTTGCAATCTATCAGAAATAAAGTTACATTAAGTTGAAATGAAATGCTTACTACACCTTTGCCATTACCTCAGGTATCTCTCCTGGTATCACAAGAATGCTTTACTGCACTTCTATGTGAAAGAGTTCCTATAAAGTGAGAGAGGCAGAACCAGAAATTTGGAGAAAAGGAAAATTTCAAACAGATGCCACTTCTCTGTGTACCCCTAACTCTTCATCTGCAGTTGAGAACTACCCCTCGTACATTAGTGAGCAACTCCTCTATCTGCACCCATTACCTGGAAAGAATGGGAGTTTCAAAATCTGACCCTTGAAGAGTAAATATGGAAAAACTATGGCTACGTGTTTCTAAAGAGCTTAATTTGGACTAAAAAGGTAAAATCTGAATGCAGAGACAGGAAAGAACTTTTTATTAATTATAATACAATTGACTTTGGTGAAACCTTTTCTGACATAAGGACTCTCAGTACTGATAAGACAAATATTGCCAAGGGAATATCAAGAAAACACAGCAAAATGTCAAAAATCGTTACAAAGATCTCTTTTTGTTGATTTACAAATGTACATCAATGATGTAATGTACAAAGCATTTTAAACACAAAATTTAATATTTATCTAGTTACTCTTCTGAGGGTACTGTGTTACAGTCTCTTGCTTCACCCAACAATCAAATTCAAAGTCCTAACACATCATCTGGTCTAGGAAAAGAAATATTAACCTCTTCATGCAAGCCTCACTGAAGACTGAATCTGCCCCTCAGGAGAGCAAACAACTTCTTTAAGATAGTGGTGTTTACTATAAAACATGAAGGCATCAGTCTGCTTATTGCCTTAAAAGCTGAGCTGAGGGGGATGCCCCTTAGAATACACTCCAACCTAGAAAGCCAGAGAGAAAGTGGCCAGGGAGGACTTAGGAAAACTTTTAGTGGTGCCCTTTAGGCAAGAGTTATAGATATGGGGTTGTTTTTTTGTTTTGTTTTTTGTTTTTTTCTATTTTTTTTCTATTTCCAGAAGCCAGTATTCTAGAATGGGCAATGTGGGAAGTGAAAACATGTGTGTATCGACCCCCAGGTTTATGCTTTGAGTCTTTTTGATGCTTTAGCCTAGAGCAGAGGGAAACACCCAAATCAGATTTTCATTCAACAGAAGATGACAAAATAGCAGTCTGCTACCAAATGTTGCTTTAAGGTTTCTGGTAATGACTAGCTCATTCTGGAAGTCATGACAAAACTGTCCCTAACGGTTTGAGACATGGGACCATTCCTTCCCAAAGCTTTATAAGCAAACTGAAAACGATATTTAATCAGATTGAAAAGGCCCACTTTACTTGTCACCATTCAAATCAGAAAAGGACATAGTGGTTTTTTGGGGGATGGGTAAAAAAGGTGAAGGGATTAAGAAGTATAAATTGGTTGTTACAGAATATACTGCAGATGTAAAGTACAGCATGGGGAATATAGTCAATAATTTTCTAATAACTATGCATGGTGTCAGATGGGTATGAGAATTATTGGGATGATAACTTAGTAAGTTATATAATGTCTAATCACTGGGGTGTACACCTGAAACTAATATAATATTATATGTCAACTGTAATTGAAAAATAAAAATGATTTAAATTAAAAAATTGTTTTTAAAAAAGGAAATGGACAACTCACTCTGTGACTCTAGGTTTAGATGCTGGATCCTCTGAATATTTATTTCCTCTTAGCAAACCAGTGAAACACCACTAGGCATCTAATATTGATGGTCCCTCCTAAATGATAAAGTGCTGCACAGAAATGCCTCTAGAACACCACAGTGCAATTACTATCATCCACTTTAGACGTGTGGGTTTGACACAGTGAAGTATGGTACATAAGCACCATGTGGCTCAAATTCTGAATTTTATTTGCCAATCGGTTGAGCTACATGCTCGCTTCATTGAGCATGACAACCTAGTTTTAAGTGTCATTTAATTTTCATTTTGAAATATAATTACAAAGTGTTCACTGTAAGATATCACTCGTCTGCAAATGTGTCAAGATTAATTTGTGCTAGCTTATTCACAAGTGTCAATAGTTAATTACTGTGTCATCTCTGGATGGCTAAATGACATTCTAACTTCTGATTTTTTACAGTGTTCCTTTATGTTATTTTCCATTAGGGGCTGAGTCCATATTCCTACACGTGGGCAAATATTCAAGCATATAAAATACCAGACGTCACAACTCATTAAAATCAACAGAGCATATATTGCTCTATATACCCCTATAAAATACATTTAACTGAAAAGATAATTCCAGTAATAATGTCAGATTCCTAAAAACTGCACATTAATTTGGGTCTGTCTGATCTAAAGCACCAGGGACTACTCTATAGGATCACTGTGTTAGATTAATGTACTCTTATGAGACAGGAAAAACATTTGGGAGAGCGATTTATTTAAAAACATATACATTTAAACTTTGCTATTTTTTCTTCTTTCTCACTTCTAAATCAATGAAATAAAATTCTTATAGGAGCCATGTGCTAATTATTTTTCAATGATTTACCTGTGCTATAAATAGAGTGACCATATAATTTAGCATCCAAACCAGGACAACTTTTGCAAGTGGAAGGGGGATTATTAATACTTATTTTGGAAAACAGGCATTAACCAGGGCTATTCCGGGAAAACAGATGTGTGACCCTAGTTTTAAAGTCAGAGAAAAATCATTGGATCCGTGGGCTAGAAGGTCCTCAAAGTTTTCCTAAACCAGAAGCCTGTTTTTCTGGGTGAAAAGAGTAAGGCCCAGAGAGAAGTGACAAACTCATGGTTAAGCTACACTGGGAGTCTATGTGCTGCCTGCCTATGTGAATCAGTTTCCCTGAGTAATTGATCCCATGCAAATGTTCTGGAAGACGTTATCATTTCAGTTATGCCCAGTTGCTATGATGCCTTTCTTTGTCCTCTACATATCCCCCTCAGTATTCTCAAAGAACCTGATTTCCAACAGGCTTCTTTCTTTCCTTCTTTTTTCAGGCACCCTTCTGACAAATAAACCAATCAATGTGATTACTCGCTGAGCTTGGCACATTCCACATCTCCAGTTCATCAGCTCCCTTTGCAGGGCTCACCTGTTCTTGCTGTTGGCGAGCAAGGTCCATTTGTTGCCGTTGTTTCTCAATTTGTGAGGCTGCCAGTTTTTTCTGCTCATCATGCGCTGCCAGGAGCTGCTCCCGTAAACTGATCAGCTGGGTAATCATGGTAGAGAGCTGCCGTTCTTTTTCTGCCAGGCTCTCAGGTGTACCTACAATGGAAACAAGAAGATATCTTACAAGTTTGAGAAAAGTATGAATGAACTGGGGAAATGGTGGGAGGAGGGCAGATTTAGAAAGGGCCTGCCCTACCACACTTAAAGATCTGGGAGAATAACTGGAGGTCATTGTGAGTGCAGGAACACTACAGAGTAGCAATGGAATTGATGCTAGGGTTAGTCGCTGCCCCTGCCAAGAGCAACTATTGTTCCCAATATAATTCTCCCTCACTCTTCCTTCTCCCTTTCACTCTTAAAAACAAAACAAAGCAGAACTACCTACCATATTCTTTCCCTTTCACCACACACCTCTCCTTTCCTCCCCCAAACCTATCAGATCAAGTTAGGAAACAGATGATACTTAGTATCAAAGGTTAGAAACTATGGGTTGTATTAACATTCTATAATCACCTCTACCCTCAGTGACTAACGTAGGCTCGAAGACATAGGTAGGTGCTTAGTAAATGTTATCTAAGGAATTTTCTGGTCATTGCCCTCATGAAATTTTTCTATTGTGCAAAGATCTGTCTCTGATGCTCAGAAGTCAGGGGTTGCTCTCTTGGCCATGAAACAAACAAACAAACAAGCAAACAAACAAACAAAAAACAGCTTTGCCTTAGGTAAGAAAGGATTGAACCTGATTTTTGTTTTCCTGTGAGGGGATCAAGCTAAAGTTCCCAAGTTCATCCTTAAAGGCAACAGTATTGCTTGGGGGCTCCCTCGCCCCTTTGTCATTCGTCATTCTTCAAAGGGAAAAAACACATTCGAGGTTGAGAAGGTTATGCATAAGGATGTGCTGCTTAATGAATATGATGTCAGTGAACACTTATGGTATGCACTAATGGTGCTGAACAGTCTTTTTATGGGCAAATTGCACAGCTCTCCAAAGTAAAGAGTACGGAATCCTTTTGTGAATCTAAATTAGAGCATTTTACTGCAGCATAAGATAAGAATTTCAACCCTCTGTATTTGAGCCACACAGTTTCATTATGAAGAAATGATCTATGATTTGAAAGCTTTTCAGAAAGATGCCACCAGCTGTCAAAGGGGACAAAGATTGCCAATTTTTGTGCGTGTGGAAGAAGAGACTTCCAATCTCCTTATGAAACCCCTTTCATTCCTGCTAAGAGAGCACCAGGGTAAGCTGAAAAGCTAAACGTATTTTAATTAGGAGTGGCCATATTTCCTGAGCAGCCCCTTGGAGAAAGGGAGCCTCAGAAGATGCTGGCTAGCACTCGTTAGTGCAGGAATGGGCAAAAGTAGGTTTATAGTTGTTCCTATGGAAAAAAAGACATGCAGGTTATGATTAGTGAGCAGCTTTATTGACTGTTTCTCAGACTCACAACTGTAAAGCTACCTTTGCTCAACCCTATATATGTTTCCCATAGGGTAAGACTGATGTCGGCAGTAAAGACCACCTTGGGATTCTCAAGGCCAATTCAAGTCCTAAACAAACTATCAATATCTTTATCCCTTAAAGATTCACTGAGTGGAAGGATGACCGAAAGTTAAAATTAGAAGAAAAATAAGATAGTTGAGATGGTGATAGAAAATGTATTCCACTGATAAAGGAACAAGTAATGTATTAAGGATAGTGACGAGCTGTCTTTCTAGCTATTCAATTTGATTTTTTTTAAATCAGCTTTTATTTCAGCAATAGGAATTTCAACATGGTAAAAGAGAGAACTTCTTGATCTAGAAATATATATATATAAACCCTGGGTCGTGTTCATCACGACCAGAACCGCAACCAGGCGGAAGGAAGTCAGTCCTGCAGGGGTTGTCTTGGCAATGGCTGCGCCCTCCCCCGAGCTGTTTCCCGGAGCTGTTTCCTGAAAGGGCGGGGTTTGAGGCACGAACCCGCCCTGGGAGCATGGAGGCATATCTTTATAAAGTGTGCCGCACCAGCACAGCCAAGGGTGAACCTGAGTGGGGGCAGCTGAAAGGCTTGGAAAAGACAGACAAGAGAATGAAAGCTGGGTCTCGGTGGGATGTTGCTTCTCTGAGAGACAGCGACCACGCCCACAGCCATGCTTTTATTTTATAGCAGATGCTACGAGGCAAAGTAAGGGCGTGACCAAGATGTTTACAACATTCTCCTGGGTTTCAATCCTACTCCACTACATGCACCTGAACTCTATCAAGCCTACATTACTCAGGCACGTGGGGCAACATGTTTGGACCATAGGTTCAAGCTTACAGTTACAGCTGTTGGCTATAATTGTGCTGGGAGGGCCCTGCCCTCCAAGCTGGGACTTGCACATGGCAATGAGAGGACTGTGCCCTCTCATCAGTCCAAGGCTTGAACCTGTCCAAAACACTGTAGTGGCTCCCCACAATAAAGTTTTAATTCTGTTTCTTTGTTACTAATGTTGTGGCCCCACCCCATAACAAAGAAACAATTTCTGGAGGATGAGGCCCAGGAATCAGGATTTTAAAAAGATTCCCAGGTGATTCTAATGTGCAG